ATTTCATAAAAAAAATCAATGTAATATTGTTTATAGGTATTATTATATTTTTTTTCAATAGCAAAAATATATTATAATTATATATATTTTACATGATTCTTAAATAATATTTTTATCTTAATGTTATAATAACTAAATCTTTTTTTATTCTGAAATAATTTTCTACAACAAAATTAAAATGTTATTGTAAATAATTTATTAGATTCAGTAAAAAGTTCGTTCGCATTTTTTCACAAAAAAACTAAAGTTTTGATTATGTAAAACATACGAAACAATTGTATATACCAAAACAAAACCATCAACAACAGTTAAAGTGAAATCGTATGCTAAAAAAGTATTGCTCTTGGTTTGGTCAACTTATTACCAAGAACAGCAAGCTGCCGTCAATGCGAACAGACTTTTTACTCAACCTAAATACTTATATAAACTATGTGTGATATTTAATTTTTTAAATACTATTATATTAATTATTTTTTTTAAGAAATATTCATTACTAATTTAATGAAATATTTTATAGTTATGTAATAATCGTCTTAAGAAGTAATACGTGTAATAATTTCATGATTCTTTTTATATGAGTGTGTACTTAATACATGCAAGAAAAATTTGTGCATTAAAGTTGTTCAATAAAATAATTATTATAAGAAATTAATTCATGTACTATATATAAGAGAATATCATATTTTGGTAATAACAGAAAATATATATTCTTATAAAAATATTATTCATAAAAGGTGATTATTGAGTATCAAAAGTTGTGCTTTTATAATTGGTAATACATAATTATTTTCTTGTATACTTACACAAGATAAAGAGAGCATGTAATAAATATTGGTAAAGAATTTTCATTAGAAACATATCAGAAGTTAAATAGATAGTTATAAATATAAAACCCAGATTAACAAATTATAATATTTTTGCAATTTTAAATTTGTAAGTTTAGATTATTAAGAAATAAAGTTAACATACACAATATTCAATATAAATATTATATAAAATCTTTTTATAACACGATATTTATATATATATATAGATATATATATAATAATAAAAATCTTTTTTAATGTACATGTAATTTTTTTCTACATGAATGATTTAAATTTATTTATTATGAACAGTTATAGAAATATATGAAATATAATAAATAAAAAGTAAATGCTCTCAATACTCAAGATTACATTATTAGATCAATTAAAAAATTATATTATGCACACGCATTTGTACATAAATATGTGTGTATTTTTATCATCCAATTCAAACACATTCGTATCATAAAAACTTTCAAGCAAAATCATTCTTCTATGTACAGACAATTTTCAGATGTATTCAATTTCTTTTTTCTTTAATATAAAAAAAGATACCCTATTTCGATAGAACATGATCAAGTATTTTACATTCTTACAATTTTTATTTTTTTTGTTTTTCATCTTTTACAATTACTTACAGGATGATAGTAAAAGATATAATCTCTTATCATTATTATTGATGTAAACCTATCAAATATTTTATAATATCTTTTATTGTTTCATTATTTTGCAAGGACCACTCTCTTGTGTGTAATATATAATGTATAAGTGCAAAATTTATCTTATATACTTTAACATTTTTCTTTTTTTTTACTCTCTCCCTCTCTATTAGAATAATACTATAAATATATAATTTTAAAATATCTGTCAAAAATGTATGTTATATAAACAACATATAAATATATTATATTATATAAATTTTCATTTTATAGAAGGAGGTAAATCGATTTTTTTCTATTATATTTAATTTCTTTTCTAATATTTTTTAAAATATTTATAACAAATAATTGTGGTTCGTATAATAAAAATAAAAATTATAATATTTTTCTAATTCATAAATTTTTTATTTTCATTTAGAAAATAGACTTTAGAAAAATTCAAAAATAAATAAAAAATAAAGAAACGAACAATTATATACACGTGTGTCATGCCCTTTCAAATAACATGATAAGATACTGACTTACATTGAATGATTTTCCATTTCCAAGAAACGCACAAGGTCTATATCATTTCTATTATTAAATATTATGTTGGAAAATGCTATTTTAAATCCTAATTCGTTCAGATACGATAGATTTTTCTTGCTTATTATTCCCTTATTATAAGCAAGATATATTAACGCCTCTTGTTTCCATGACGACGAGAGAACTTACGGTTTTTTCTAAAATAGATTAACAAAGATCTTAGATTATGCATAATAAAAATTATTAAACAAAATAATATATTTACCCCTAGATTAATAGATAATTAAAGTATTTAAAAAAAAATAGTCAGAGCGATTGCATTATAAATAATCCTAATATGAAGCCATAAATTGGTTATAAATTGGTTATAAATTGGAGTCAGAATATTTTTTGAGGTTTTACTTACATATTATTATTATATTTATCATTTATATACTTAAAATTTATCTAATTAAATAAAATGTCATAATTTACCTTATTCTACTTGGAGATGGAACTGGAGTGTGTTCAGCAATGACAGGTAAAACAGAAGTAAATTTATCAGTTGGACGCAAAAGACGTGCTGTACGTGAAGATAATTTCCATATGAGTCTTTGTCTATGTGGCGTTTGTTCTTGAGCATTATATTTATTTAAAACTGCACTTACAGCTTCATGAGTAGAAACATAGCTATCGCCTGAAATCTTTTTTTATAAAATAATATTAACATTTACTTAATAATATTACATTTACTATTTTAACATAATTTATAATCATCACATTGCTATCTATATATATTAGTCACTATATATAAATATAGTCATACCTTACATATTTTTTGTATTTCAGTAGAAAACTTTAGCAGTCTTAACATTTGATGTGCTGATGTTACAGATGAATTCATAGTAGAAGGACCAGCAGTCATAGATGTTGCAGAAGTATTAACATCTTTATTTGAATCTAATCGTGTAATGGTTGCTTTTAAATATGTACAGAATAAGACCAAAGCTACTTCCGATGGCCTTAAACTTGCACAATTTCCATTGCAAGCTATCATTTCTAATCTTAGAAAAAGTTCAGATTCCTAAAACGCATATATATAGATATAACTTAGAATTTTGAAAATATTACATATAATAACGATTATTTTAGCAATATTCACCATTAAAACATTAGTATATATATCACCAATACCCAAATGCAATGCAACAGTATGAAACATTGTATTGAACAAACGTAGAAAAGTTAATGATGTAATTGGCTGTATATCTGGTACCCATTCCAATTTATTACGTATTACTTCTGACATACGCTTAAGATCTCCACCAGTACACTTGCATTGAGAAATAGATACCAAATGATCAGCATCCAAAGATTGAGCCATTTGAACTGCTGCGATATGAAAAGCTGCCACACTGATGCAAGCCATATGTTTTGGTTTGGCTTTCATTTTAGTTAAAAACCGATCCATCAAATTAATAGCAAGAAAAAATACATCAGATGGTAAATCATACCATACTTTCAAACATCTTAATACATGAGCAGACCCATCCCGTGCTTCGATAGTAATCTCATCATTCTGTAGCATAGATTGATAGTATTTTATATTTCTTGCCTATATAAATATATGCGATATCTAAGATTAAGAAATAAAATGTTAATAACTTACTTGCGTTGTAGTGAGTAATTGAAGATCAGGTTGATATTTAACCTCCAGCACCAAAGCTTCTTGCAATTGTTCAAGTAGTGGGTGGATCGCATCCGGTACAGGAAAGCCTGATGTGTCCATTCTTATGTTGTGTGACAAAACCGCTTACTATGAAAACGGTAGAATTTTAGTATACAAATCAAAACGTTATTGATTGAATAACTAAAAATTCTGGTCACTCAATAAGAATGGCACAACTGGCTGGCCTTATATCTGTAAAATAAAAATATATAATATAAGTACATATTGTTAAGAATTTGAATTTTATTATAAAATAGAAGAGAATATATATACTTTGATATTTAAGTTAATCTCATGATATCCTTCTTTAATTTATCAGTACATAATAAGATTCAAAGAAAATCTCTTTGTGACGAATAGTATGTTATATTTATTCTACAAAATAAGAAACTCTGCAAGTAATCATGATTTCAAGGTTATCACAACATTCACTTATAAGAGAATCTACAAGTAAGATCATTTCAGGCGTAATTAGACCTTGATCAAAACTAGAATGAAACGAAAAGTTTCACGAAATGAAAACAAAGGAAGCAAATGGCATTACATGTTTGTAATATTTTCTCTTAATATATTTTATCTAACATGGACTAAAATTTCATTCGTACAAAAGAATACTTTTTATTTTGCATATACGTAATATTGCGTCGCAATTGCGCATTACGTACCGAAATGTACAATAAAAACTTAACGCGCTAGTTTCTTCACGACATTTTTCATCAATTTTTTAACGGACTATGTACATATATACGTTCATTTTTATCGTTACACTACGAACATCATGAAAAATGTTTTGGTAAAATTTCATACATAAAAATATTAATGCATGAAAAATCATTTGTATGTATTGAAAAGTTATTGTTAAATTATTGAAAATACGTGTTTATGATTGTTTTTTATTTTTTGTGTTCAGGACGATTCGATATCCATTTTTGGTATCTTTCAATGCAATATAAAATACTTTACTTTCTTACACAATATTTTTGCAAACACACCATGACAAATCTCACATAGATATGAGCTTATAAAAAATATCAAATCACATAACTTTGTATAGCTACATTTCATAATATGAAATTGGAAACTTGGTGCTCATTTACGGCATTATGAATAAAAATCTTTACTTAAACATATTTAAAAACAGTTACTTGGAAATGTCAAAAAAAATGGAAATTAATAACAGCTTTAATTTCTATTAAGCAAACAACTTAAGCATAAGGCATGCATTTTCCAAAAGTTTTTATTAAATAAATTTTCAAAAATTCTTTTCTCTTCCAACTATAATTACCGGAGCTTAATCACATTAAAAATGTATGGGATAAATGAGATAAGAAAATCCAAAAAACTCCAATTCTAAATTAAAACAAAGACTCGAAAATAAATAGGCAAATGTAACTATACAATAGTTTTTTTTAAATTATGAATAATATGTCAAACAAATTAAGACATGTACTATAACAAAATGATTATACCACGAAGTATTAAAATTATTTTTTGAATATTCATTTACATTAAATAAGTGATAAATGAACTTTGTCCAAATGATTTAGTGAGCTAAAAATATGATATTATTTTGTTTAATAATTTTTATCATCCAATTTATATATAGAAATTTTAAAAATAAATTATATATTTTTATCAAGATTAAAAAATGACCTATTGCTAAAAACAATAATCAGAGTAATTGCTTTTATAAACAATCGAAATATGAAGCCATAAAGTTGGTCATACTGTAGTATACGAATATTTTTGTGAGTCACTGTATATATTCTTTCTTTTTTCATAACGATCATTACTTGTACGAGTCTAATGAATTATTGGACAAAACTAAAAAGAATTCTTTCAAAAAAAACATTAATTTAAAAATATACTTAATTTTTAATTGTATCTATATATTTTTTTCAGATAATAGAAATGATACAAAAGTTGGACAATTATTGAGTTATACGCACAAGGACACGCATGTATATATACATAAACACAAAATGACGCAAGTGAAATACCTATATTTGTATAAAACTTAGATAAAAAATATTATTATGCTTAAATACGGGTGATAAAAAGAAAAGAAAATTAGATAAGTTATCATCTAGAAAGAAGAATTTTGAGAGAACAAATGAAAAAATTAAAATTAAAAACAAGCAAAAATAAAAATTCATTCCTTCTGACGTATATAAACCTACATATTTAATTGTAAGTGTTACGAAATTTTTTAAATCGTTCTTGAACGATCACTCTGTGTGTGTATTATTTTCCTTTTTTTATTTTATATTTAAATAAATGTACTATAATCAGTAATATTAATAACTAAATTAAAATATTTGTTGAGAAAATAAACAAACAAGTTCACTTACTTGAAAAGAGAAACTAAACGAAGATAGTATTGTTCGTATAATCTTCTTTACAAAGAAGAAGATAAAAGCAGAAGTATATAGTTCAAAGCGTCAATGACCAACAGCAAAACGAACTGTCAGTCGCAATATATGTGTATATATATAACGTATATATTTGTGTGTATATGTGGACCCACACGTTACACACACACACACTTTCGACCAAACTTTCGTAATCGAATCTTTTAAATCCTCTTGGTACAAATATAATATATATAAGTTACACACAATATAAGAAGAATTATATCCCTATTATTTTGTATATATACATAAACGAAAATTATATATATGTGGAAGAAAAAATTGTGAAAACAATCGAATGATTCAATTGAAATACTTCTACTTTTATTTCTTTCAAAAATAGATTAACTAAATCTGACGCAATAATTCAAAAAATAAATAAGAGTAGAACACAAACCATAAACGTATGGTACGTAGTATCTTCTTGAAAAAATGTGTGTACAGTAGCAGAGAAAAAACAAAAATACGTTGTAAGAAAAAAGTCGATACTCTGTTGAAAATATTCTTTATACGTATATATAGGTATACAAGTATGTACACATGCTCAAGTCTTGTATTCTCTTCGAGATCGTTCACGTGTTATAAAGTTTTTTAACTAACTTCGATTTCTATAGAAATTTCATTTCACACTTTATTTCCATCGGTCGATAAAATTAAAACAAATTTCAATTATTTTTTCAATTTGATTACACAAATTTAATTATATATATATATCCATGTATATATATGAAATAAACGTTGAAGCTGTGAAAATGTGTTCGAATTCGTCACCATCGGTCACCCCGTACTTTTCTAGAAAGAGGAAAGATTCTAGTAAATTTTATACAGCTGTTACTATTAATGGAACTAAGCACACGAGACCATCGACTTTGTTATTTCTCTCTCTTTTTTCTCTTACACGTACTCTTTTTTTCACTCACTCCCTCCTTAGCAATATTACCTCTTCTCTTTTTTAGCCACCATACACATTATATCTTTCTTTGTCCTCCCCTTCCCAGTACTGCTCACCTTCTACGCATGTGATGCAGTGACATATAACGCGGAAATATGAATTATAAGGATAGGATTGAAAACCAAATTAAACAATGTATTCATATAGATTGAATTTATATTTTCCAAAATTATATTTATCATGGAATGAATAGTTTTATACTTTAAATACGTTTTATATAGGAAATATTTTTTTATATACAAATAATTTTTTTTATTAATATAAAAGAAAATATTTCTTTAATTTTACAATAAGTTTGAAAAATGTTAAAATTTAATTAATAAAATATTATTATTTTTCAAATAATTTTTGTTATAGAATTAAATAGACTCTGTATATTGTATATAAATAAATTTTCTATATATTAATATTATTCGATTATTTCTTTCTCTGAATCTTTTTCCAACTTTTTCACAGTTTTCTCTAATAAAAACAAATATTCGTCGTTGGCATTTGGAATTAAGGTACGTACAACAGATGCTAATTTATAAAGATATTCTCTATTTGATCCGCTAGGACCATGTGCATTAAATATACAATTTGCTAATGTCTCTATATTTTCAACGCCTACATAATTAGGATTATCTTTGCTTCCTATGTAGATTGTCAGATAGAACGGATCTTTATCTGTAATCGGCTCTATAATTGTATTATTTGTATTTACAATATTGTCTAAGGAAGTAGAAGAAATACTTTTATCAACATCGCTAAGACTAGCATAAGGGTAAAAGAGAACGGTGTTCCTTTCATAGCCACCTTTTTCTCTGAAGTCTAAATGTGCAACAACATTATCTACATTTTCACCAGATATTTTATAAGCAAGACCCCACACTTCATCATTTGGATTGTCGGATGGAAGCAAGGTAACAACACGGCCGGGCTAAAAGTTATATATATATATATTATATGATTCAAAATTCAAAGTAAATATTAAGAAGATAGATTTAAGAACTTTTTACTAAACAATTCTATTTTTATTGTTGAACGCACCTTAGCGGGTGTTCCTCTGTGATCTGTACTTTTTTGATAAAACCGTCTCACATATCCCTTAATATAACCAATGATTCTTTTTTCATAAGGAAAATCAACTTTCCATATAAGAGATCCATAACCAAATACCCACATATTCCTTTGTTGACAAGAATTTTTATATTTGGATCTATACAAATATTCCACTTTATTTTTGTAAAGAATCTATTTAAACGAAAATTATTTAATTTTTAACCTAACCTATTCAACTTCATATGTCAAAATTTAATATATACAGTTAAAGAATTTGATACATTTGCGCAGGTATACGTACGTATTAAAGAACTCATACTTTTGTTTTAATTATAGGATAAGCAATCAAACTTGACAATCGTGTAAATAAAAAACCATATCTATATCTAAATACATAAACCTCTTTCTACCACCACATTGTTCATCATTGCATAGTATATAAAGTATATATATATATATATATATGTTGTACAAACTTTTCTTTCGTGACAATGTTCCCGCGCAATAATAACTGCGCATTTTTAAAAGAGTATGATGTATGTGTATTTAAATATAAACCATCAGAAAACTGTCCTTGCGTATATTCATAATATATAATTGAAAATATTTTATATATGTAAACAAAATTACAATTTATATGCATAATTAAAAAACAGGAACAAATATTTTAAATTAATCATATTTTAAGTTATATCCGGGATACAATTATTTTGAAGAGTAATAGTTAAATGAAAGATACAAAAAAATAAATGAGTTAATTTTTATTATTAAATATTATATAATATCGTATGCATATATATATACTTTTAAGTTTAATTTTATTGTTAGTTTATATTAATTTGTTTTAAATAAAGTTAGAAAGAGAAAATTAACAAGAGGTCGCTTTAAGACTTTTGTCCATATAAATAAACGAATAGTTATTGTTTATCACATTTACGTCGGTGCATTAGGTCGATCTAACTATATTTTATAAACGTAATTAGATCATAAATTCGCTGTTTTCTTTTGTTTTCATTTATTTATACAATCTTTTTTTTTATTAATATCTTACTTTCTCCCTCTTTCTCTCTGTACCTTTTTTTTTCCAATTGCATATGTGGCGAGAATTGTCATATGATTTCTGAAATAAAAACAAGTGCACATTGCGTTTCGAAAATGGCTGCGGTACAATGTGAGTTGAAAGATGACGATTCCCAATCAAACTTGTCGAAATCATCGGTATTTTCTAGCACAACTGTTAAAGCGATAGAAGAACATGACACCACTGGATTACCGTTACAATCTTCCTGGACATTTTGGTTAGACAAGTGAGTGGACAATGATTAAGTTTCATACGCATGTACCATTTATGTGTCTATAGCACTTATGCATCCGAAATTCCCTTTTTAAAACTTTCTCCTTTTCTCCTCTCTCTTGACTGTTTTATCGTTGTTTATTTATTTTCATTTATGGATTAATGTAAAAAAAAATGTTTATAATAAACAAATAAATAGAATATTAAATCAAAACTATATACAATTTTTAATCTGAAATTTTGGATGAAAAGTGCTATAAATCATTATATACTATCATTGTGACAATATTTGCATGTAAAATCAATATATTCGTCAAATAATCTTATGGATTTTTATTAACAATAATTTTAATGCCGAAATTTGATAAAATCGTATAAGATCATATATATTTTTTGAAGCTTGCAATTAGAGAAACAATTGATACGATTTGAAAAGAATATTTATGCTCTAATTTGATCAATAAATCTTGTCATTTAAATATTTTAACTTTTATTCTCTATTTACTTAATACAAAAATCTTTTCATTATTTACATAATTTAAAAAAAACCGTGTTGTATTGAATAATATTTGGTTCAAAAAAACATTGATTCATAACGTAATAAAATTAAACAAAAAAGTGTGAAAGAAGTTACAAAAAAAATTAATGAAATTAACAGAGCTATTTCTGGTACAACCGCCGAAGAATATAAAGCCAATTTAAAGAAGATTTATACTGTGAATACTGTACAAAGCTTTTGGGCAGTCTTCAATAACATTCCAAATGCTGCTGAAATACAGGTATTATCTTTTTGACACACACGTAAATCAATTTTGACTTACATTGCTATATTAGTAAGTCGAAATAACGTAATATGAAATATTATTTTTTGTCATAACGATAATAAATTTTAATACAAGAAATGATATTATTGGTTTTATTATGATAAAGAAGCATTAGGTGATATCGTATTCACAGGTTAAATATAGTTATCATCTGATGAGAGATGATAGATATCCTATATGGGAAGAACCTATCAATCAAAAAGGCGGAACATGGAGATTAAAATGTCATAAGTTTGACACTGTAAGAAATAGAACTCTTCGTGATGTATTTAACTATTTTATTTGTTAATATTAAATTTTTCAATATTTTTTAGGCTAAAATTTGGCAGGAAATAGTACTTGCGGCTATTGGAGAGCAGTTTTCTGAATGCATGGCAGAAGGAGATGAGGTCTGCGGTGTTACTGTCTCTATTAGGGATAGGGAAGATTTGATACAGGTATATTTTTTATTTTCTTTTGAATAATTATGCTAACACTTTAGAATATACTGTACATATTTCTGTAAATCGTAATAGATAGATAGATAAATCATTCATATCCATCATATAAACTTTGTAAGTCATATTTAGTAATGTAACTCCTAAGTGTTGTCTACCTTTGTCATATCTCCTTTCATTTACAGTGGTGTTATTACTCCTATTTTAGAATTCTTTGGCATCAGTAGTTCTATAAACTTTTTCCCTAACTTTCCTCCTATGTACTTCCATGTTATTCTGATATTCCATTTTATTCTGATGTATTTGCCTTCTTTAGCCGTTTTATCTGCACTTCGCGTAAATCATAATATTAAAAATGGTATATACTTTCAGATTTGGAATGTAAATGCTGCCTTAGCTCCTAAAGCGACGGTTTTACAAAGGGTTCATGTACTTCTACCAGAAGTAAATTTTCTTACTGAGTTTTATAAGGGTAACTTTTTTTTAATAAATCTTTCTTTCTTTTCTTTTTTTCATTATTTATTATTAAACATTAATTTTTTCTATAAATATATATAATTATTTCAGCTCATCAATCCCATCATGCGTATGGTCGATGCTAATATGTATACAATATAAAAAAGAAAAAACTGTTCAGTTAAATATATAATTTTATTTGAAAGAAATATAATAATATTATAATAATTAAATAATATTAATAATAAAATAATAATATAATAACAGTAATAATAACAGTAATAATAATAATAATAATAATAATAATTATCATCATAATAATAATCATAATAATAAAGTGAAACGAAATATGGATTTGAAATAAAGAAAAGAATAAGAACACTGTACAGAATAAGCCATCTGATGTACATGACAAAATTATACAGAAAAATCCGAAACCAAAGAGAAAGATTGATAAAAATCACAGAACAAATAAGCATATTCGGCTTAATTAAATGAGCTGAAACAAACAACACGAACAATGCCTAACAAAAGCAGAATGCACCACCCAAAAGCAGTGATTAAAAGAATAACATAGTCCAGAAAAACAGAAAGATAAGATTAATAGCATAATAGTTAAAAATCTATTGACATACTTTGATAATATAAATTACACAACGCAGTAATCAAAACCTCATACCTCATAATATATATATCTTAAATGATACAAACATAAAAACAAAAGAAGAAAAATACATTACTAATAAGGTACACCCATTAGCAATAGAAATAAAAGATATATGGAAACAAGAAGACGTAAAAATAGTGCCAATAGTCATATCAGCAATGGTAATCACTGAAAACGCTCGGATAAAATCTAGCAAACATAGGAATAGATCCACAAATATGGAGTAAAACCAGATGAACCGAATAATTGGAAAAAAGTAATATGAAATATAAATAAAGAAAATTCTATCATTTTTTTTTGTTCCGTAACTGTAAAATCAAAACAATATTTTACTGAATCTTTTTAATTTCAATATTCATAAATAATCACGCCTACATATAAGTAATTTTTTTACATTGCTTATATCATACAGTGTTTGTTAAATTCAAACATAATTGTTATATTCGCTTTTTTACATGCACAATAACAAATATATATTTTTATATATCTGTAATTTATCTAATTATATGTGTATATATACATATATATAGAAAGAGAGAATACATGATCATTGTCATTATTCGAGAATGGACTATAATTGTTTATACATATAAGACAAAAATGTATATATATATATTTATAAATGCAAATAATGTTTTTCTCTTTAATTAAAATTTTTTATAACACAAAATATACTCGATTCGTATATAACAGTAACACCATCAATTTATGTGATATTGGTAGTCAAAATTGTTATTTCCCCTGACGTCAACAACGAAATCTTTTAAAATGAAAACACATTTTGTAGGAATTTCGAGATCATTAAATTATATCTAAATCGTTTTTAATGTATGCGTCTCGCATCCTTCGAGATTGATGTCATCGAGTCTCTACTTTCACAAAAAAAACACGATTCTAATATACAAATTTGTAATTTTAAATTTAATAAACAAACTTATTTATACCTTTTTTTTTATTAGATATTAACAATCAAATAAACGATCTTTTCCTTTTTTTATGAAATATAAATTTTTGTAATAATTATTTCTAGATCAAACCAAAAACTAACATAAAACAAAATTATTTTATTAGAGATTTTACATGCCATATAAGTAAAAAATAAATAGAAAAAGAAAAAATAAATTCCGTTATATGTATGTTCTGGCTCACATTATTATTCAATTTACTATTCGGACCAAAACCAGCATGCAGATTTCGGATAAATATACGAAAGGTACGGATAGGAGTCTGATAGCGGTCGTATTGGCGCCGGTAGTTAAATTACCACGTGTTTTATTTATGACACCATTAAAGATTTACTAAGCCTTTAGGTATGTCTTGCACATTTATTTGGAAACCGATGACAGATTTATCTACAGGAACTATGAACCGATATTAACATTTGTTCGTATATTGATAGTCTTGATAACGTTGATTTATTATTTTCTTGCTAATTATCGAAGTAAAAAAATATTAACATATCTTTTGTTCGTAAATCACAAATACTGTATGTATATATTTATATATATATATATATATTACTGCATTGAACGAAAAGGAAATGACATTAAATAATATACTCGGTCAGTAACAAGTCTTCGAAAATATTTTATTATTTGTGTTCCAAATAAAATCCGATAAATATTACAATATTAATAAAATTAATATATATATATACAGCTAGTTAGCTATAAATTATTATTATCAAGAGAAATTATAAATTTTTTTTTAATTTTAATACTATTGCATTAGGTCATTCTTAATACAAAAAGTTTATTTAAAAAACTGATGGAAGATATTTACATGATACTTACATACACACATATATACGTATCTATTACATATATAGATATAGTTTTGTGATAACGTCATCGAACAGTAATCTGAGACATAAAAATATGATGCTCTCACGGAAGCATCTCCGGTATTTCAAGGTATGGGAGAAACCAAAATTTTTTGACGTCTGCTATTCGATGACGAAGTCTGCTTTTTTTTTCAAAACAGCCACATGCCTTATTAACATGCACACGTCGAAATATTGCAGGTAAAAGTTGTTATCAATTAAAATTCCTCTTTCCAAGGCATATCCGTAAATATATTAACAAAAATTATTTTTTTCTATTTCTTTATTTGTTTAATGATTTATAATTGTCGAAAAATAACGTCACATCATAAATATATATTTATACATATAAATAAAAGTGAAACTGAGAATTTGTCGTTGTTCGTAGTATACAATTAAAAAAAACATATTTTTTATTTACATTTTTACAAATGACGATGATGTATATATATATGTATGTAATAAATACATTATATATCTACTGTAAAAAAACGTGTAAAATATATTCATTTCAATTAATAATATATATGTCGTGTGATGTGTGTATATAAATCGAGATATCTTTATTTAATCAATTGTTCCCCCAAAAAGATAGTGCAAAGTACAGCATTTCCCCCATCCCTCTACCTTCTGGGGGGAATTGTTTGATAGAAATAAAGTAGAAATATCCGGTGGCACACATACATATATATATATCCCTATTTAAATAATATATATATATATGTATATGAATATATGAATAATACATATTGGAGAAGCGACACGATTTTAGCGCCAACTATTATATAGTGGGAGAAACCGTAAGTAGCACCACCGTTGCGTAGTAGAAGGAAGTGGGAGTACCGCGAAACAACAACTTGTGGTAGAACATAAAATGAAATGTTTTGAACGATTCAAAGGTAGTACTGCGTCGATCAGTTGTTGAGAACGTATATAAATATATACATAAATATATATTCGTGCAGATTAAAAATTAGCTCTCTCTTTTTCTTTTTTCTATAACACATTACGTTTAACTAAAATATAAATGGTGTAGTGTTTTAACAGTAAATACATATATGAACAGATAATAAATTTTGTGATATATTATTTTTCATTTTTTCACAAATTTTCAATGATATACGTAATAATCCTCGAGTGAGATATACACATATATACACACACATTCATATATATTATATTAAACATTAAAAAAAAAACAAGATGAAAACTCTAATGATTTTTTCCACCATTTTTCTCATTTCTTTTATGACAATGCAAGTCATTGGATCAGCAATACCAATGTGGGAATTCCTTTCGAGAGAAGAAAAGGTGAGTAAGATAATGTTCGAAGTATGTATGTAAATAATATATGAACATCTTTAATCATGATCATTATATATATTTATTAGACTTTATGATTATATTATACGAAACAGAACACATAACTTTTCATTAGATAAAAAAGAAAAATTTTTTAAATATTGAAATGAACTAATCATTTTAATTATTTTATGCTTTCATTTAGAACCTGATCGAGAAATATTCTCTTTTGTTTTTTTCTCTTTCTTTATAAAATATAATATTTTATAAGTAATAACTGAAATATATTTATTTTATTAAGAATAGTATACGATACGTAAATACGTGATTAACGTTCTCCAGTTGAAGTTCAAGCTTACACACTCGACCTAGGTACTAAATATCTTTCTATTATAATACGTATATGTATACACGTGTATATATTGCCTCGTATAATCAACACAAATCTTAAAGTTGACTGTCCTTGTATTTTCTTCAGATTTCAAGGTTTAATACTTTATTGAGCATTTGTATAAATGCCAACATACACACGTACAAAGAAAAGGAGAAGAAGAGAGAGTATTATAATTAAAATATATGACAT